ATTTAGCAGTGTAAGACTAGAGGGAAGGCAGCTAGTCATCACCACCCACCGCCAACTCTTGGGCTACTCTTGTTACTAACGAATAGTAGGATTGACCGTCACATTATAACGCCCCCACAGCTGAAAGGACGAGCATGTTTGGTGTGACGGGGATTCGAATCCGCGACCCACAGATTGCGGGTCGAGCGTCTAACCACTTGGCCATGGCCATGAAAAGTTGCTTCCCTTATATGTTATGTAAAAAACGCCCATAAAAACTGCAAAATGCAAAACTGAAAATTTCTATGTATCTCCCCTTGGATCCAGTGAATCTCCATACCAAATTTGGTGAAGATCCATCTAAACATACAACAGACAGTACTATTATATTCATATAGATGAAAGGCAGTGGCTATTTTAGGGTATCTTCAAAGCTGCAGAAACCATAGGTTAAAATGTGTACCATATTGTAAAACGTTCCCTGGTATATTAGATGTTTACAAGACTTTTATTAAAATTGTACTTAATGATGCTATAATCTACATCATAATGTAGCGTCTATTTTAGAGAAAACTCCGTGGTTCTGCAGATCACCGGTATTTACATGCAAGAATGCAATTGCACAAGTTCAATATCCAATTGCACGTTGAATTTTTGGAACTACACAAAACTGTTTGAGCTACACATTAAAATAACCCTTGATGAAAGGTTTTCACGCTTAGTCATATTGCACGTTTGACACCATAGCAGTATTCCACTGCTTTATGATAGCTTGAAGGCTCTTACGTCTGGTGTCGCATTCAAAGTAATGTAGATAGCTATGAAAAAAATGTATTATGTTTAAAACGATTGGTTGTAAGTTATTAGCCCAATCGAGGTGCTTGGTCGTAAGGTGTTGCACGTGCGCCTAACTTTGTTAAAAGTGGGAAGAGAAAGAGAAGTATACCGAATTTCGTTAAAATGTAATCTTTACCATAGGCAAGATTACGAGGGGCAGTAGCTTCCGTTTTCTTTTCTGTGGGATAAAGTATACACACGACATTCACGATAATTTTGGTCCCAAATACTACCTATGATATTTACTATTAAAATATGCCCATTAATAGCAAATCTGTCATAATAACTCATACAAGCAGTAAACAACTCTGTGAAAAAATAATCGTTCCTTGTTATAATCTAATATAAAACATGAGACAATAATTAGAAAATAGTAACATGCTCAAAGGAAATATTTTAAATATTGGATATACGTTCAACGATAGAAACTATTTATAAACAGTTATAGAAGTAAAAACATAAGGAGGATTAATTCATTTTCGGAAACCTCAGTCAGTGATGCAAAAGAAACAGCAAATCAAAGAGAGATAATATCCACAGAAAATTACTTTAAATTAACAAACCAAGTACTTAGGGGCTGATAGATAACAAAATCTTACACGGTTATGAAAAACTTGTAAAATGCCTATGATATAGTAACCTCATTTATATAATTATTGTTATCACTACGAGATGCCGCCAAAATTAGTATTTGTTTGTTTGTTTGAAGTTAAGCACAAAGCTACACAATAGGCTATCTGTGTTCTGGTCACCACGGGTATTGAAACCCGGTTTCTACCGCTGTGACATTGGAGGCGCTCCGGTGTTAGACGTTTGTTTTGTGTCTGTGGTTGTTTTGTTAATTGTTTTTGTTGTTGTTGTTTTCTCTTTCCACAAAATTACATTTAATTATATTTCATCTAAGGTTTGGATATACTATGTAAAATTCAGTCTATTATTCCTTTTGATGTAATGTGTTTTATATGTATTTTTGGAGCTTTCTTAAATATATATATGTGTGTGTGTGTGTATGTATGCCATATGGATATATGTATATATATAGAAAGTAAAATGCTGCCATAAACAATGTTAAAAACCATTTTTAACTCTAGGTGTTGTTTATTACCAGTATTAAAGAGTAATTTGCTATATTTACAGAATTCGTAAGTAAAATGTTATTCATAAAGTTTTCGTACAGTAATGTTTTTGGCAGTTAGTTACAAGAATTGTATGTTAGTGAGCTAAAAACGTAAATGACCATGAATCATCACATATTTCAATATATTCAACGGCGCCGAATCGGTGAGTTCTCTAAGGCTTGAGCTCCATCTTGTAAATGAAAAGGTTGCTCAGCCTGGGATATTGGAAGCTGAAACTCCTTCACTTCCTAATCACTCTATAGCATCAATATAGCTGCGAAGGGTGGTGCGTGTGTGTGAGGGATGGGCGGTTGGGGTAATTGACTGATCGCTGAATTATTCTTAAAAATCTAAAAAAGTCAAACCTTCATGCCAAATTTGGTGAAGATCCATCAACAGAAGGCGAAGTAGTGGTAAAAAAACGCGAAAACGTTCATAAAACAACAGAAAGCAAAACCGAAAATTTGTATGTATCTTCCCATGGACCCCAAAAACTTTCTTGCCAAATTTGTTAAAGATCCATCCACAGGAGATGAGGTAGTGGTAAAAAACGCCCGTAAAAATCGTAAAACGCAAAATGCAAAACTGGAAATTTGTATATATCTCCCCATGGACCGAATGAACCTCCATATCAAATTTGGTGAAGACCCATTCACAGGAGGTGAGGTAGTGGTAAAAAACTTAAAAACGCCCATAAAAATCTCGAAACGTAAAACTGAAAATTCGTATGTACCCCCACATTGACCTAATCAACCTCCATACCAAGTTTTGTGAAGATCCATCTGCATCCTGCGAAGTAGTTACATGGGCATAGCACAAACAACAGACAGTACTATTATATTTATATAGATATATCAAAGCATAGATTATGTGTTTGTTTTTAAGTGATATGTAAGTGTTCAATTTTATGCTATACTTGTATAAATATAATTAATGAAAAAGAAAGATTCGGTTTTGGAAATACAATTTTTATTTATAAGCACAGATTTTTTTTTTTTTCTGAGTACTGTATAAAATGGTTTGGTATAAGAAATAAGCTATTATGTTAGATGTTTTCAGTTATTTCTAAAAATTTATCAATATCTTTAGTTATAAAAGATAGCAATTATAAGATTGAGCGATTTAAGTCATCTTTCGCCGCAGCTTTGGATTCGTAATTTGGAGGTGTTTAAGTGGCTCGAGTTTCTAAGAACTTTTATCTTATCTTGGACTGTAACAGGTTTTCGCCGTTTGCTAGAGGGCGCTAAAGTTGTAGAGCGCCTGTTTAGTGGGGTGGTTAGGGGCAGACCTACAAATGTGATTTGTGATTGAGCTTTGTAGGAAGCTGAGCGTCTGCTTGATATGTTTGATTTTTTAGGCGGTTTAAGCAATTGTTGAGTGTCTGTAATCAAAATATGAGACGTTCGAAAGATGAAAAACTAATTTGACACATGCGTTTTAAATTCTTGAGGTTTTTTTATCTGTTTCAGAGAAGCTTAAATGTAAATAGAACTAGAGTAGAACTAATTTATATTTTCTCCTTGGTGTTTGTGACAAATTGTGTTGTTAACTGTTGCTTTAGTGTTAGTACTATAGTAACACATTTCGTTATTGCTTTTTAGTCTGATGTTCGAAGATAAACGTGGTTTTTGAAAGTGATGGTAAGTGATATGGTTTTTAACTTTAACTTAAGTTTTCTGAAAATTTGAATATAGATTTCTTCTTGTTAGACCTGTAGGTTGTACTAGTCTAAACTCACTAATCTGAACTGTACTTCGCATTCTGATTCTTAATCTAAAGTATTAATACTATTATAATTCATAATACGTAATAATATAAGTTATAATATAACTTATAAATTGCAATGCGTACATATTTTAATTTATTAAGGTGAGAAATTAACGAGTGTCCAGTGCCAATTTATTTCTAAAATTGAAAATCACGTCGTGCTTGGAAAACTTTTAAAAACTAAATAAAAGGATGTGCCCGATTAGCACGTTAATTATATTGTATATATAATAATTATTAATATAGTTATTTACCGTTTAACATACCACTAGTATAATCTGGGCCTAAACCTTAACTAACATAAGCAATAGTAACTAAATTATAATTGTAAATGAACCTAGGTGGCTCACTGCCAATTACAAGGTCTCCTAGATATAGGTCTTCAGCAATATTTTATTAAGTTATCAGTGAAAGCAAAGAACAATGTTATAATAGGTCAGTCACATAATATCTGCGATACTCATTTCCGACGAGGCCTTTTGTTCAATACCACTACCAGCGCTCATCAGGCCTGCTGAGGTACACCAGTGGTCTAAGCGGTATTTATATCATCAATTTTTATGAACGACCAGTCGACTTTTGTAGTGTGAACTAGATAAGTACGTTAATTCTAATTTTTATCAATTTTATTTAAGTCATTTGCAAATAAGATTTATAATGCTTTGTGTTTAGTAACACTCTCGTCGCTACAGTGGAAGCGGATCACGTTGTTGTTTATTTCAAAAGATTTACCCAATTGAAGTATTAGATTTAGACCTAGATCTAAAATCAATCGTAACGTGTCCATATTCGGCCTCGATTTAATATTTACACTCGAGACTGCTTACATCCAAATCTAGATCTATCTACGTCTGGGCTAGCCTGCTAACTAGGACATATTGTTGTGAATGCACATGTATTTGAAGGATTAAAGAAAAACTTATGGGCACTTTGCATTGGGTGGAGGGGTATTGCCACTCAGAAATCTCTTCTGTTACCTAAAATTTTTGATGATTGTGTCCAGGGAGCATATAAAAAGTTAATGGCCCACTTAGACTAAGAGTAAGAATATCATCAATCACACATTTACTAAATCATTAGTATTAGAAATACTAAATTCATCTTGAAACATTACAAAGTTTTATATTTTATTTTATACATTCGAGTTTATTAATTATTATGTGTTGAAAAGTAACAAAACAGTAAAGGTTATTTAAGTTTTAAAAACTGTGCAAAAATCACACCCGTTCATACAGTATTTGTATGATTCTTATATTAGTGAAACCACAGAGTCTGTATTTATTAGTTATGTTTGTAAACTACTATAATAAACTAACTATATGTATACTTCAATAATCATGTCTATCTAGTGTTAACCTTGAAAATCAGTAGACGGGAGAGATCAGAGAAGCTGACGAAAATATTTCGTTTTTTCCTGGGGCAAACTTAACGATACTTAGCTCCTTCCCCTCTTAGTGAATTTAACACGGATTTCACTTCTCGTCTAATTAGGTAAGTGATGTTTTAAAAGTTCATCATTTGTGGAGATTTAGTAGAGGCTGTAAATGAATCAACAAATATAACGCTTTGTAACATTTTTATTTCTAGTCATGTGTAAGTACATGAAATTGTCGCACAGATTACACTTTTTGTAGAATCTTTCAGTTAGTGATTTAGTATTTGCATTGCTGTTTTAGTTATCAGCAATAACAACAACAACAAAACAAAACACTTGTATATTAAATATAAGAGTTGAATGTCTTTATGTTTGTTGTCTAGCGGTACAAGTATTACTGAAAGATGTGGGAACTAGCATTGTTCGATTGGAAACTGAAATAGATTTCTCGATTTTTTTTTCTCTTTTAAGAAATACACAATAGAATTTGACGCAAAACATACTATGTTAAAACACATCATACTGTTTCATATATGTCATTTTTTTAAATGTAAGCTTATATATTTTTATAATGCCCAGAACTTAATGTTAACGTGTTAATGACTACCAAACTTGAATATATAAAAACACTGATGTACTCGTGTAGACCATACGTGTAAGAACAGCAATAAAAGTGAAGTATTAAACGAAGGAAAGAAAGGGTTTCTGTCATATTTATTTATTTTTGTATAAGTAGGTCCATATAGCTATTTAAATATTATCCGCTATGTAGCTACATGGTAAGTGGTCTGAAAATGTATTTACTGTAGAGCGAAGGAAACGTGCCGCTCCCTTAGCTGTGTCTGTATTTGTGTGTATGCAGTACAAATACTGAATCGAAGCAAGGCTAACTCCCCTGCTGCGTCTGTCTCGAGTGGGAAGATGACATGACTAGTGAGTCTTCCGTTACATGTCAGCACTGGCTTTCGCTATAGATAACTGGGCAAAACGTTTATTGTGTGTACTTATAATTGAATCGTAAATACTTAAAAGTACATTTTATCAGTGTCAATGATGGCATTGTGAACCATCCCGAAACTGATAGACGTGTCTTCAGTGTATATCTTACTTCATCAGCATACGAAATACTGCGAGAAACAATGCATTCACCTTTTTTTTTTTTTCATTTAGCTTTTTGTATGTATGCTTAAGCACTGCTTATCAAATACTTCAAAAATACCTTTGCCAAAAGAGCTTGTTATTTCTTGCATATAGCGGTGCTATATGATTCATTGATCGAAGCAGTTTAACATTAGTTACTTTATTCAGTATCTGGAAACGTGATTTTCATTGGCGAACTGCTTAAACTCATAATTTTTGATATTCGGCTAATGTGGTTAACTTTCAGTATGTTTTTTTTTTTACTCTGTCGCTGACCCATGTATGCCTATGCATGAGCTTCTCAACTTAATAATAACTGCATTGCGTTAGATATTTTTCGTCAGAAATTATTTTATGTTGAACTTAGGCCTATGCACCTATTATACAACACGAAATTCTTATCAAATGAGGCAATCTTACCTTAGAGACTAATACAACAGGAAAAAAAAAACAATTATGTGGTAGTTACATATACACAGATATAAAGTAGTTCTTAATGATTACTTCCCTATTAAAACTCACTTTATTAAGAATTATTTATATTTCACGAAAAAGCTGGTAAGTGTCTAGACTGAAAAAAAAGTTGAAAAGCTATCTTGTGTTATGAGAATTGTTTTACATGTAAAGGAAATTGCTTGTGTGTGCTGCGTAACTAATATATATATAGCATGTGTGCACCTGCGTCTTGTGACGTGCAAGAGTGCAAATTATAACTTACACGTCGAAAATTAAGTGAATAAAAGTAATATGTGGGTTCGGCTTTTTTAGAGATGTTAATTATAATACTATACACAAAATCAATTACGCCGAGCACCAAATATGTTAATAAGTGATATAAAAACGGGTAACCTTCGTCACGATTGATCCTTATTGTTGTTTCGGTAATTTATGGTTAGCAATAACATATTTGTACAAACTTCATGTTTTTGCAAAGCAGGAAATCGTACAACGGATACAGATGTGACCAAAAATGTTGATTTAATTTTTATTTATATTTTCTTTAATATAGATTGATAAATTGATTAACAAAAACTCGTTTGTTGAAATATAGTAAGTTATTTTCTTATTAACGATTATCTGATGACATTAGGAATTATGCTCCAAAACCACTGGCATAACGGTTTCATTTGTTAAGTATGTTCTTTTTGGATTATTCTATAAAAAGAATAATGTAAATCCAGTTCATTTAATGATAATGAAAGCTTTATTTCTTCGACTACCTCATGTTGAAGTTCCACTTAACTAACGATAGGCCTAACTTCTCAGTAGAGATTTCATTTACTCTAATTTTCTCGTATCTCTAGAATTTTGTTTGAAGCACAAACTCGAAAATTTTATCACTGTACTAACTAGCTGACGTAATAATCAATAAAATATGTAACATTCTTCGCTTTGAGTTAGGTTCATGTGACATGATATAATGTAATCTTTGAAAAACTACGCACTCGTTTCAATGTTATACTAATACAACCATGAAGTGAAAACAAAAGAGCAAATTTTTGATCTTGTTTCAAGTATGTGTCATCTTGAAATTGGGTTTTGATTTAATTTTATTTCTAACAAAATAATCCCCCTCTTGTCACTAGTGTTGTTATGGTTTCATTTGTTTGGTAGATTCTTTTTTGTATTTGGGCTGTACTGTAAAAAGAAAGCAAAGTCAAGTTCACTTGATGATAACAAAAATATTTTATTTTTCTGACTACAAGTTCAACAACTTTTACATGTTTTGTGTAGCTAATGATAGATCTAACTTTGTAAATGAATAATGCCTGTTGAAGTTCCACTTACTTGCTGATATTAAAACATTAAAAACTCCTTCTAACCAAAAACAGTACAAACTTATAAATTATATGAAAAAAATACAACCTACTTTTGTTGTAGACACGAATGGAAATATTTACAATGATTTTTACTAAATGTAAAGTGGACTGATTTGTGTTTTATATAGTGTATGCCCTTATTTCTTTTTGTGTGTTCATCCATATATCAATAATGTATGATTTTTTCGTGAAGTTTTGTGTCACATTGCCTAATTTAATAAATGTGTGGAAAACTTTGAAAAATAGAGATAAATTTGACTTAAGGGTAACTCAATCTATAAAACCCAATTCAGAGAACTAAGCCAAAACAAAAGGTATGGTGGCCATTCCATTACTTTCCAGCTACCCACTGCTTACATTCTAGTCAGTTCTTTGTATTATTTAAGTGTATTTAGAATAAAAATAAATTGGAATGAAATTAAAATACAGGTATCAAACATACATGAACCATGAAAAATAATTAACCCTAGAATGCTACTATAACCTATACCTCTTGGTGTTAATGTTTGAAACTTTAATGCTGGCATTCCATGGTTAAATGTATGTGAAATCACTAGAAGTCAACCATTCACTTCTGATTGTAATTCTTTTATCAGATTGATAGAGATTATTTATTTCTAATACTCTGAAACATTTATTTAAAATAAAATAAAAACTTGAAACTAGTGTACATTTCACAATGCCAAATATTTATAGTGTCTTTATCAGATGTTTACATTTCCTTTTTTTTTTTGCATTATAAGTTTTTATACATTTCTTTTATTCTTTTAATTTATTTTTTCTTTTTCTTATTTCTTTTAATTTCTTTCTGGTGTTTTTCAGTCTGTGATTATTTTCTTTTTATGCTGTGTCCCATCTAAATATGAGGAGACTATAAATACATTCTTTGAGTTTGTAAACTAGGTCCTCTGTTGTGGACCTCCGATGCCATTTTTTTTTTATTTTGAGACAACATTTCAGGCTCCTTGATGAATGCTAAGTCCTTCATCATGAATCCCAAAATGATATCTCAAAATACAAAATCATGAAAACAATGGTAATAACAAAAAATCCAATCTCCACACCACATATTTAATCTCTGGATGTGGCAGTTCTAGTATTATAACATATTCTTCTTCACTTTCACTCATAATTTCTCAGAAATATTGTCTAAACCCCATTTGAAAAGAATATTCTTTTAGTTGTTTTTTTATTTTCAATTCATATCGTATTTTTAAGCAAAAGCAGATGTTTCTCAAAGGCTTGTGATATTTGTTGTTTTACATTGTCATTCTCTCTATTCTTCCAACAAATTCTGGATGTTGGCATTACCTTCAGTTTTAGAGCTAATTTGAGCACTCCCTATTCTACAACCTACCAATAAATAATTAATATAACCATTTGAAGGAACTGAGAGGTTAGGATCTATTGAACCATAATTACTATTTGAGTTTTTCAATTTGGTTTGGATAGGGTATAATGTTTGTCAGTTTGTCTAAGGAGCATCACTTTTTAGAGGTAATGTTTTTGTTTTAAAGAAGCATTTTCCTTCTCCATATTTTGTTTAGGGTTGTACATTTGTTTCTGTTTTTTTGTTTTTCAACTTAACTTTGTTTTTTTCTGACATTTTTGGTTCCATACAGGTTTGTTAATTCTTACTGGTAAATTTTGCAAAAAATATTCAAAATTACTGTCTGTTATCAGTATATATCTTGTCTAGAAATGATGTTTGTCATTTCATTTTGTTTTTCTTTGATTTTTAAACGTGTTTTAAACGTTTTAGTGTAATATACTCTTCATGAGTTGAATTCTCAAAATAGTTAAGAAATAGAATATCTGGGTACAGGTCATAGTGTTCGGATCCTTAAATTATCGTTTATTAGGATTTACTCAATTGTGTTATAACGGGATCTGTTGCTTTTGTAGTTTCTTGTTATCTTTTTTTTGATGTAATAATGTAAACTTTAAGTTTTTCTTTTAGTTTACACCTGTTTGTTTAGGTATTTGAGTGGGAAATATTTATCTGAATCACAAAAACTTTTTTTTTGTATGATATCCATTTAGGTCTAAAAAAAACCTGTTTAATTGCATTTCCATGCCCAATGTCAAGGCCACGTGGTTTTATAATTTCATAAAATAGTCTGATTATTATTTAATTCCATGTGTGATTGTTAATG